GCCCTAAGCCCTAAGCCCTAAAGCCCAAACGCAGCCTGAGCTTCGTGTGTGTGAGCTCGTGCCCGAGCATGAGGACTAAGGGGGAGGTTAGGACAGGGGGGGCGGGAGCCAGCAGGGCGAGGCCTAGATCGTACGAAGTGAAGCATTAGTGAATATTCTGATTTAAACAAAGGTCTCACCAGAAGCAGGAAGTAGGATATTGATGCAGGATAATATAGGATATAGCTGCAGGATAAATGGGTTTCGTACAGAGAAGGCATCTTGATGAAAATCAAAATAAAAGTGAAATTTGAGAGGAAGAGAGAGAGAGAGAGAAAGAGAGAAGTGGGAGGAAAACTGAGAATTAAATATCTGCTAGACAATAATAGAGGTGATTACTGAATTAGGTAATATTGTTACCTTATACAGCTATGAAAATAAATATTACTGCCTAAGGCTATTGTACGAGATATCAACAATATGATAAGGCATGAACAATGGGACAGGGCATCAACAATAGGATAAGCCATGAATATGCCATGGACCCAACAATTATGACAGTCCTGCCTGGAGCTTAAATCGTACGAGATATCATCAATGGACGATACATGAATAATGGGACAAGCCTTCATCAACGGGACAAGCCTTCATCAATGGGATAAGCCTTCATCAATGGGATAAGCCATGAATATGCCATGGACCTAATAATTATGACAGTCCTGCCTAGAGCTTAAATCGTACGAGATATCATCAATGGACGATACATGAATAATGGGACAAGCCTTCATCAACGGGACAAGCCTTCCTCAATGGGACAAGCCTTCATCAATGGGACAAGCCTTCATCAATGGGATAAGCCATGAATATGCCATGGACCCAACAATTATGACAGTCCTGCCTAGAGCTTAAATCGTACGAGACATCACTAATAGATGATACATGAATAATGGGATAAGCCTTCATTAACGGGACAAGCCTTCATCAATGGGATAAGCCTTCATTAATGGGATAAGCCTTCATCAATGGGATAAGCCTTCATTAATGGGATAAGCCATGAATATGCCATGGACCTAATAATTATGACAGTCCTGCCTAGAGCTTGAATCGTACGAGACATCACTAATGGATGATACATGAATAATGGGATAAGGCATGAATATCCCATGGACCAAACAATCTTAACAGTCCTACCTAGAGCTTAAATTGTACGAAAAAATCAATAATAGGATAACATGTAAATATACTATGGATTAGAATATGAATCTATAAGTAATCCTAACTTAAAATAGATATTTTAAAATAAAGTTGAAGAGTGCTGGCCCTTCGTACGGTCGCACCCCATCAAAAATAATTCCGATTTTCAATCAGCCACTACACCTTTAGAACTTGATCAATTACTCTAAAATTTAGTGACCATAGTCTTTATAGTATAGAATAGAACTTTACAAATTTTGAGCTTCATCCTTGTACGAGAAGCTTTTCCAGTCTACTCACGAAAAGTATTCCAGTCTACTCATGGCCCCACTTTTATCCACCATAGTGAAGGTAAAGTCCTAATTCCAGTCTACTAGACTGCAACCACCCCCATGGGATAGAACCTAGATATATAGCCAGGATAGAACTCTATATTTTTTCAGGCTGTTTTAAGCAGCATTACGGAAGATAGACCAGGTCGAAGATTTCACGTTCTACCGGGTTCCCCCACATTGATTATTAGCCAATCAGAGCTCTTAAACATCTTCTACCTACCAGGTCGAAGGTTCGGAATAGAGTTAGTAGATAAGATAATATAGGTTATACGAAGGGTGAGAATCAGGGTGAGAATTATCCCAGGTCGCGCGATGGCCGTACCGACCCCCTCAGGTGACACGAAGTGTGATATGATTGGGTTACAAGTTGACTCTAGGGTACCTAGTCCCTTAGCATCTGCACACAGCCCCGTGCGGGCTTCCCGCCAGGATAAAAGGGGGCGATGCAGGAAGCACTAGCCATGGTTTGCTCCGTGACGGCCGTAGGTGTGCAGAGCTTCATTCTCTCATAGCTGGCATTTCACTCTTCTTGTTTTCCCATTAGTGCAAAAGGAACATCTCATATTGTGCCCTGGTCAAAGTCCAGCATCAAACTAGAGGGGTGTCGTTTACTCCCTCCTCGCCTACCGGTGCTTTGCAAAAATGAGTCACAAGGCTGCGACACGAGAGAATCTCTGGACTTTAGCATTTCATTCTTTACCACCTGCGACGAAGGAAGACCTCGAGAAATATCAAAACGAGAAGGCTATTGAAACCCTCGACGCAACCCTGAGGGCTGTCCGAGACAAACAACTAGTTTGCTTGCAAAAGCGTTGGACCGTCAAGACTAAAGCTGGAAAAAGACTCATTGTTCGTGATATTCTTGACAAGGTAGCATTCTGGATCAACAGATTCAAGGAGGTTGGTGACATTGCTGTTCAGTATGACCCCAGTCATGCTTCACTGCCGTGGGCTGGCGTACGGGTTTTGCTCCAAGCGTCCATCAACGACCTACAAACATTCACCTCTGTCGCCGAAGGGCTAGAGACTTTGGCACTAATCACCACTCGATACTCTATCCTCGAAAACATTTATCTACCCTCGACTGGACAAGCGCTTTCTTCGGCACAGTCAAAACTCTGTGATGCTTTAGTAGCGCTTTACTCAGAGTCATTGAAGTATCTCGATGACATTGGAAAATATTACGAGAGATCGACAGCGAAGCGTATTGCTCGAAGTTTGGTTGACTCTTCGCACTCTGTGGAAACCATTCTGAAAAGCATTTCTACGAAGGAGGCGGAGGTGGAAAAGATCGCTCAAACCGTTCAAACAGAGATATTGAAAGAGAAATCTGATCAACTGGGACAGTCTCTTATAGTATATCAAAATGAAGGACGCTCATCTGTTGAATCTTTGAAGAATCTTTTCCATTCACTTGAAGCACCACTGATTCGCCTCAGTGACCCGCTTGTGCAGTTTCAAGAGTTACTGGATCTGCAAGAGCGGCGCAGATTTCTCATGTGGCTTTCAAATGAAAGCTATAAACTACAACACGAGACTACATACAAGGAAGTTGTCCCAGGAACCGCACATTGGATTTTATCTCACAAGGAGTATCAATCGTGGCAAGCGTCAAGTGTGTGTTCAACTCTTTGGGTCCATGGGATTCCGGGTTGTGGGAAGACTAAACTCGCCTCCGTCATCATTCAGCAACACTTGGACTCCATACTGCAAAATTCTTGCAATGCGCCTGTTGCCTACATCTACTGCTCGAATACGAAAACCAGCTTGTCGTCTCTTACCTGCGCTGCAATCCTTCGAAATGTCGTCAAGCAGCTTGCAGTCACCCAACAGGGACAGAAGGTGCGACAAGGATTATGGGATGAGTTCAAGAAGAGACAGAAAGCTGCAGATATGGATGGGCTTGATCCATTACCTCTCACAGTAGATGAATGTGTTCAAATGTTGCTTGAACTAACTCTCGACTGCCCCGCGACTATCATCATTGATGGACTTGACGAGCTAGTTGGAAACCAACTGGATATCCTAACAAGTCTTCAAACTCTAGAAAATGAATCATCCAGTCTCATCAAGATTATGATTTCCAGTCGCGAAGATACGTATATCGCACAAGAGCTACACGACGCCATTTCACTCCCTGTCACTATTTGCCAGAATTCAGAAGATATCAAGACCTTCGTGCAGCATTCAGTCAGCTCAGCGATCACCAATCGAAAGCTCCTCGGAGGAAGCGTCTCAGCATCTCTTAAAAACCACTTGGTTGAAAGTCTATATCAAGGGGCAAGGGGGATGTTTCTTTGGCCTGCAATGCAACTGGAATACCTTTGCGATCGCCGAAAGTTCAAACTTGAAGAAGATATCGTCGAGGCCTTGAAAGCTCTCCCACCCAGTCTGGTCAGCACATTTGACAATCTCTATGCGCGGATCAATCTCTTCGAGCACCATGCCAAAACGATGGTGATGCGCATCTTCGCTTGGCTCATAGCAAAAGAGAGAGAGCTTTCTGCCTCAGAGCTATTAATGGCTATATCCTCCAACGAAAAAGCTGACGATTCGAGTATCAGCATAGCATCTGTATGTCAAGATTCATCATTTGGTTTTAAGGCATAGAGTTTAACATGTCACATTTAAGGGTACCATAGATCCTCAGCTCATACTTGACTTATGCTGCAATTTTGTCATTTTCGACGACAACATGAAACGATTTTCCTTTATTCATTCATCCGTCCTTGAATATCTCCAAGCTCTTCCGGAATACTCTGTGTCGATGACCAACTTCATCGCTGCTAAGCGGTGTATTGATTACTTTCTTCTGGACTCCGATGCTTCGACAGACACCTCAAGCACTGAGGATGAAACCGACAGCTTTGAAAGCCACGAGAGCTTCCGAAATTATGCCATTTCCTACTGGGCTTATCATTACTTGAAAGTTGCCGATATACACCCCAATGCCGATTTGGACAATTCTCTGAAACAACTTTTGTCGCCGGAGGAGCCAATGAATTTTCATTTTTGGCTCGACGACGTGAAGGATCAAGTAGAGGCCAAAAGGCCAAATCTGACCCAACTCAAGGAGCTCAATGCGATGCTGAATGACCAATACTCGCCCTTGTTCATGGCCTGTGTATACGGTCTAGCTTTCATTCTGGAGTTCATTGAAGCTGAGGCATTACGGGCCGGGAAATTCATCGACTTCAATATGAAGAATAGCCATGGAGCATCTGCTCTGTACGTGAGTGCCAGGTATGGACGTCTCGATGCTGTGCGGTTTCTCCTCAGCCGCGGCGTGAACCCAAATATCCCCGGTGGCTTCTTTGGCAATCCACTCCAGGCAGCTGCATTCCAGGGGCACCAGGACATTGTCAGTCTTCTTATCGAAAGACAAGCGGACCTGTTTGCGCCGGGCAAATTTTCTAGCGCACTTGATGCTGCTTTAGCAGGTAGTTCCGGGCCTGTGATCAAGTTCCTGGTGGAGGCTTCCAAAATTACAGATGGGTCGAAACTTGAGCAGCTACTGGCACGAGCCTCATACGATGGCCATGATGAGGTAGTCTCCTATCTACTGGGGGAGATCAGTCAGAATGAAGAGAATAACGGCAATGATGGTAAGTAATTAATCATGAAACTGAAGTCAGTGGCAGAAGAGTAATGCAATATATCTTTGCTAGCAGATTTATCGCTTCACGTTGCCTTACAGGCGGCTCTCCTGCAAGGCCATACCAGGGTCGCAAAGAGAATGCTCGACAGAGTTGTCGACGTAAACCTGGGAACTGGTCATTTTGGTACCGCCCTTCAGGCGGCAGCATTCGGCGGCCATCTCTCCATGGTAGATCTGGCTCTAAAACATGGAGCAGATCTCAATACTCGAGGTCGTTACGGAACGGCTCTTCGAGCTGCTGCTCTTCGAGGACATAGTAATGTCGTGCAACTACTTATTGAAAAGGGTGCCAATGTCGAAGGCAAAGATGCCGACGCAATGCAAGCGGCCGCTTTCAATGGACATTTATCAACGGTTGGCATTCTGATTGACAGCAAATTGTATGATTGCGACGACTCTTCCAGTATCCGGGCCATAGAATCGGCCTCGTTCCGTGGCCACCTAGAAGTTACGCGGCTTTTGCTCCAGGCGTTTGGTAAGAAGGCTGCATATTACGCCTTTTCTGCTGGACTGGATGGAGGCAGAGAAAACGTTATGCAGCTTGCCCTGGAATGGAAACCAGAAATAAAGGCTTCTGATCTTCCTGATGGCACTGAAATGTTATGCAGTGCGGGAGGTGGGCTTTCACTACTCCCATCGGCAGACAAAGGCTATGATTACCACATCTATGCCGTCAGTGATGAGGGCGAGGACGAGCAGGGTACTGAGGATTATGACGACAGTGAAAACAACTCGACAAGTGACCATAGTGAGAAGGAAATAGTTGCGAATGAGAGCGCCACCAATATGTCACCAAAGCCAGACACGAGCTCTCCCTGGCTCCCAATCGAGGAAGAGCATGACCCGGGGATGAAGATTGCGAAAGACAGTGATATCGGTTATGGCAATGGCAGGCTCCTTAGAATTGCAGCTCGGAAAGGCCTTGTGCATACCATCAATGTTCTCATCGATCTAGGTTTTAATATCAACACCACGGGGAATTATTCCGGTCCTTCCTCTGGTCAATCAACCCCGATCGAAGTGGCGGCGGAAGCAGGACAGTTCGAAGTAGTAGTTGTTCTCTTGAGAATGGGCGCTGAAGTCAGACAGGCATTATCATTTGCCGTACGCAACGAAGACACGCGAATGATTCGGCTGATTCTTAATGAGCATCCTGAGACTCCCCTTGACTGGCCTCCGCTTCGCAATAAGCGGGGAAACTATGTGCGACCAGTCACCCCGATTGTCGTGGCAGCCGCTTGGAAGCGAACCCGCTCTCTAAGAATGCTACTGGCTCATGCCAAGCAACACTTTCAAGCTATAATTGGGCACGGTTTGATAATGGCAGCGCGAAAGGGAAACTTGAGCTATATGCGGTCAATTCTTAGTGACTTCCAGTTGAAAGAATCGGATGACGTGACTTCCTTGGCTCGTCAGCAGCATGACACCTTTGTCCTGGTGTCAAAAATTGCAGCCATGAGAAAGAGTACACGCATGATGCAGCTTCTCCTATGTCATGTCTCTTCAGAAACCATCCCAGAGCAACTGTTTGAATGCTTTGTTCAGGTTGCTATCTCAAATGCCCGCTGGTACGCTGTTCTTGAAAATGTCCAGCACATCTTCAATCCATCATTTTACGACAACCTCGCAAGAAAGGCACTGGTTTCCTTCGCTTCAATAAAGGTGCCTTTACTTAAAGGCAATAATTGCAAAGATCTCGCGGCGTACGAGGAAGGGTTTGAACGTCTCTTTGGATGTTCGTCAGATTTTACCTTAGCATTACCAGACGTTCTTTGTGAGGCCGCCAAGAACAATGACCTGGTCCTCATAAAGCGTATTATAGACCTGCACCGTGTGACATGTGCTATGTCTACAAGGAATATTGCAACCTTGATCAATGAGGCAGATGCAGATGGGAAGACACCGCTGTACTTCGCATGTACTACCGGACGCCCGGATATTTTTTTCTCCTTTTTGGATGTTGGAGCTGATACATTCGGCCTATATGACCCATTCCCATTGAGACTTGTGGACGAAAAGGAAATATCGGCAAACAAAAGCCGTAAGGCAAATCTATTGCAAATTGCTTTGGATGCATACCAAGCATCGGACGGCGACACACGCGAATGGTATCGTTGGGGAAGCAGACTGTGGGAAAGGCCCCTTGAAGTATCCTATGGACCAATTGTTTGCCATCTGCTTGATGTGGGGTTGGAGATTGACTTGGCATACCCGTGTTTGATCAAGTTCTTCTATGTTGCTTGTCGCCAGGGTGCACTTGTGTATGTCAAAAAGCTCTTGGAGAAAGGTATCAGTCAAAGTGCTCGGTCGAGTAGAACCCTTCGACATGATACATGGCTCGAATCGGCTCTTCATGTTGCTGCCATCGGAGGCCAAATGGCTGTTGCGGAGTATCTCCTGAGCCAAGGGGCTGATGTGCGTGCCAAAGCAAACCTTGGAAATGATTCCACAACGTACAACCAGACTGCCATCGAAGCTGCTCTAGAACGGCATTGTCTGTCTGGGTCAGGAACGGCTATTCATGAAGTCTGTGCATACCTTGTTGCCTCGGGTGCATCTGAGAGTGATGCTGAGCTTTTGTTGGTGAAAGCCTGTCAAGCAGATAACTTGGCTTCTGTCAAACGTATGCTGCGGCGTGGAACGAAAATAACAGACGCATCTGCCATCAAGACAGAAGAGCTTTATCGCATTTTTGTCGAAGCCAATTTCAACTTCCATGACCATCCTGCTGCCATTGGGCGTCTCACGGAGAATTCAATGAAAGTGGGAAATTCGGAGTTTTTCCAGGAACTGGTCGATGTTTATGGTCAGCTACCTGAGTCTCACGACCTTGTCAGAGCCATAGTGGCAACTTCAAAGCGCAGAGAGAACCGGGCCTTATTCCTGAGAATTTTGATAGAGGAATGCTCTCTCGATATTAATCAGGTCTATCAGGTCCCTTGGCGCGATCTCAAGATGACCACAATCCTTAACGAAGCAGCTTGTGACTTCAAGGACGCCGATGGTGTGAGCTTTATACTCCGAATAGGTGCAAACCCTGATAGTCCAGGTCTTCCCTATACTCCTCTCACGACAATTCTTGTGCGGGATGCAATATCAACCAGCGGCCGTAGCCCCAGAGATACACATGCCATCATCAAAATACTTTTGGGCCACGGGGCGGATTCGAACGGGCTCCGACCAATTGACCTGCTGCATATGGGTCAAGTAAAATCTCGAACCTTCAGGACCCCGTTACTGCTTGCCATCGTCATGAAAAAACCTGAAACTGCCCAGATTGTGAGGACTCTCTTAAACCACGGCGCTGATGTCAACATGGGACGGATCTCACCTTTGCGTCTTTCCCAGTTTTTCGGCCAGGGAGATGTTGAGAATTTGCTTCGTGAGCACGGCGCTAGAGATAACAGTGACCTTGATTGCCCGATCTCAGTATTTATTAGGGACCTCCGTTGGAAGGACACTTACTTGGATAGGCCTGTGGATACGAAGAAGGGCATGGTGGCCAGGGTCCAATGCCTGATATCTCAGGGCTTGATGCCTTAATTATACCTGAATTTAGACCGCTTTTGACACCGCGTAATGTAAATAATGTTAGTATATTTAAGTGCTATAAAGTCGAATTTCTCTAGCTCAGCATGTACTAGCTCGCGATGGTGGCTAGTGGATGCTTCGTATCTTAACACCGCACCTCTATCTCGGTGGTTAGGAATCAAGTTATGAAGGTTCTCCACTAGCACGGAAAATTGCTCAACTTGTGCGAGCCGTTTCGCTTTGTCTCTCAACGCCCAACTGAGTTTTTGTCTTTTTTATTCGAGTGAGGTCTGTGGGTGGGAATCGCTATTGAACAATTGACGTTTTATGGGTTGTGTATCTGCTCCTGACCCGGTCATGGCAAAGAATCGTCGTCACAGCCGCAAATGTCTCTTATGGCTGAAAGGAGATCTTGGACTACACATAAGGTTCGTGGATCATCAAGAACCTTGTCGTGTTCATCCGATAAACTCCCTTGTTCGAAACCGACTTCCTGGCCCCATTTTTCGAGGCGAAGTTTGTGGACTTTAAATTGGGCGGCTAGAGAGCGAGACTCACTTCCAAAGTCCTTCCACGAGTCAACCCTTTCGAGGACGTCCAAGCAGGTATTGAAGAGACCAGCCAGTCCTAAGATTCCGACTGCAAGGCCTTGACTGCGACATTGTAAAGGTTTACGATTTCCAGGTGTAAGACCTGTTAACCGGGTAAGATACAATGACTTGGAGAGGAACGAGGATATATTGTCTGTGTGTGCCAAGACTAACTCTTGCCAAAAGAAGAGGGGATTCAGGGGAATCCTGGACTATGTGTGTCCCCATGTTCACGTGGGAGCCATGTGACTATTCCTTGGCAGTTCGTTCCTGATACATGATCGATGCGGGTGCGATCAGGTGATTCCGTCTCCATGTTGTAAGGATATTTATCCGTTACAACTGAATGGTGAGAAATTTCTAGGCGCCTTAGAGATCTTCATTTTGTAATGACAGTGTGCTTGATATCGGACAGTTCCAACGTTTCTCCTCGATCCAGTATAATGACAGATTCCACCTATCGCCAACTGAATCTTCCATCACCATGTAAGGCATTTATGCAAGTTTCGACCTAATTATAAGTACTAGTCCGAAGATATTGGCTTATAAAGTCCTTCCCGCTGCAAACCACAAGGCATCAGCACTTTAGTTAGAAAGGCAGGTACCACTAGCACAAAACAGGCCACTACAACAAGGCGGATTCTGTTTTGCCCCACAAGAGTTATACTTAGATCCACATGCCTATAGATTGATAACATGTTCGTCAGTCATTCTTCAAGGTAGTCGCAAGTTGATGTGTGTGTAATGAAATACATACCCTCTCCTCTAAACCACTTGGGTCGCGAGCGGCCTTGTTTTTTAGGCAGGTACCACCAGCACAAAACAGGCCACTACAACAAGGCGGATTCTGTTTTGACCCACAAGAGGAATAATTAGGTGAACATGCCTATAGATTAAAAACATGTTCGTCAGTCATTCTTCCAAGGTAGTCGCAAGTTAAGGTAGTCGTAAGTTGATGTGTGTGTAATGAAATACATACCCTCTCCTCTAAACCACTTGGGTCGCGAGCGGCCTTGTTAGGTAGGCAGGTACCGAGATCACAGAACAGGCCACCACAACATGAAGGCTGATTTTGTGCTCCACAAGAGTTATACGTTTGTCCACACCCCTGTGGATTAATATCATATCAGTAATCTGTACTAATAGATGACGGACGGTAAAAAGGCAGTCCAATGGAATACGTACTCTCCTCTCAAGTGTGCTTACATCATCAGCAAGCCCAAAGTTAGGCGCCGCCAGAGCAGAGCTAACAAGAGCTGCAAGAACGAAGTTAAAGAGCTGCATATTTATCCTCGTATTGATGGTTGCTTTGGCTTCTTGAGACAAATGTTGTTTGAGTTGATTGATGTGGGAGAGATTTCATAGGGAAGCGGACGGTGGCGATGGCTTTATACCTCTTTTCGTTACCCCTCCAGATTTCCATCCCGAGAGCTTCGCTCGCAGTCTGTGAGTATTTCCTCCATTGCCTCCGGGTTGCCTGATCTAACAGCCCCGCACAGACTCCTCTCCCATTCCTTCGACGATGCTGCGCGACTAAATGCTTTCACTTATTTTGGTAAAAAAGCAACCCTTACTCACGAGACATGCATAATTCTATTGGTTCATGACTGCGAAAGCGGAGGATCATTCTTCTTGCTCTGTTTTGACTACTCTTAGACATGAGTTATGGACTACTCACCTGCAGCTTTGTAAAATCTTAGCCTGGGTAGTGATACTAGCTCATATTTTCTTTATTCAACCCTTGGTGTATGTAGTGAGCGTACATATGCAATCAGCACAAACGAGGACACCATGCACATTAAACTTGACACAACTTAAATGATTTGCTCTTTTACCGCAGCTACACCGTCGATCTCCAGCGAAAGGAACTCATGTTATTTAAGTAGACCTTTAGTGTGGTGTTACTTTTTCCGTTAGAAAGAAATTTGATCGACATATCATCAGTCTTAGACTAGCGTTGGTATGACCTGCAGAACAAATACGCTAGTATGTTTGAGGATATGTAAAAGTAAAATGCGGAAAACATCGAACTGTTATAAGAGCGATGAGTGGTGAAAAAGTGAGGGTCAATGGACAATAGCTGATTTTTTGCTTATAATGGAAAATCAAGCAAATGTTATACTGAAAAACCGGAGTATAGAGGACAGCATGGCCGAACAGACTAATGAATTGATTAAATTATTGGGGACTACAAAGTAAACAATTTAGGTGGCTATTGTATATAATTGGCTAAATGAGACCCCCCTTTACTACAGGGATCATTTCACCGTAAACTGGAGTACAGACGCACTGAGTAGTAGTGATTGGAAAGAGCCTAACCATCATGATTCAAGAAGGCAATTAAATTGGCGATTAGACGCCTGATCGGCATTAAAAATTTCAGTACGTCGTAGGCTTGGAATTTATTCCTTTTGCTTGGGTTACATGGTTCTTCGTCATTTAAGAATGCTGAATTTATCAATCGCTCATGGTGAGGCTGTCAGGAGACAAGCTCTGCTATTAGTAGCGAGGGTGTCGATCGTCCCAACATGGACATACCCCACAATTCGTTGAAATTCTCTAAGAATCAGCCTCATATAGGCACTTCCAAACTCATACGTAATAAGACTCAAACACTCCATAAGAACTAGTCCTGCAGTGTTTGAGGACTGCATAGTGTGTGACCCTGGCCCGTCCTAAATAAACCGCATCCGTGTAACAGCTAGACTAAATGGGAAGCATTAAGAAGACATTATACAGATCCAAATAACCATAGTTGTCCTATCTATTATAAATCTATCATTTTAAGCCGTGACATATGAAAAAATTGAGGCGCAGGCAGCAAGGCACCTTACCTTGCACATGGGCCTGGGCATGGCTAATCAGATGTAATAGCCTGGACTCTACCAAAATCATTTCGAAGGTCATTTCGCGCCTACAACGGGGGGCTAAAAAAGGTCCCATCTAGCTAGAGAAGGGGCTAAAGAATCCATGTTCATTGCTAGCGTATTGCCCTATCTAGGTGGCATCGGGAGAGCATGAATCAAAAGCGGGTATCACATGATTACACCATGGATGAACCCTATACATATGCCAAGAAGCCGAGAGATTTGTATTGTGGGGTCTACGCTGTAGACGCCCGAAAGTTAGGAGGGAGAGAGTTGTATTGGGAAGGGGAGACGAAACTCCCAAACTATCTAGTTAACTAACTATCTGAAGTTGATGCCTGAACCCTAAGGCACCAACCACAACAATTTGGAATAATGAGCTGTCGTGTCCCTGCATAATCGTGGGAAGCCCACTAACACAGACCCCGTGTTAGTGGGCTTGGCACGATTATTCTACTTAGGCTGATAGGCCAGCCACGTAGGCATGTCGATCTTCCGTACTCCACCCGACCTGCGAAATGAGCCCCAGAAATGCATGTAACCCTAGTTTTTTTTTTTTTTTTTGTACTGCTATAGGAGTTATTAAGGCCTACTATAAACTATGTTAAATTTTAATTTATATATACAAAAATGGGGGATTTTATCTAGTTTTTTACTAAGAAAAGAGGGTCGTTAACTATGTAGGTTTTTCGACTAAGTGCTAGTCGTATAGAGAGTCACGTGCCATTCGATTTTCTAGAGCATACTATTTTCTGAGTAGTTCTCTCGTATCTCTACTTCTCATAAATTCTAGGATGAAAGATTTCCTGGAAGTGCTAACAAATCATGCTACAGATTGAAATAAATTCTTGTTTTATTAAATAATATGCGGGCGCTCGAAATGAATGAGACACACCATTTTTACTTCATGCTGGCTCTGACACCCTTCGTAGCACGTAGTTGATATGAAGTGCTGACAATATTGTGTGCTATTGATTCTGTAAACCTCCGCAAACTCGGGATTATGGTTAGGTAGCCTTACTGCCTCAGGCAACATAGACCCTCCTCTGCTCCTTACCTACATAGTTAATCTTCCACAATTCCTCTCTCTCCCCAGTCTTCCGCTCAATTCGAACAAAGGGTTCTATCCCACCTTTCCTTCTCGATTAAAACGTTTAAAGTACCAAAAAGAAATACTTGACCCCATATTGTTATTGTGAGTTTTTCTATCTGTCCTTTTGAGGTCTTCTTTTTGGTAATATGATCTCCCCTGTCGGAGACGTCCTTCGCAGATGCTTTGCCCATTGGCGAATTTCCATCGGTCAACGATTACTTCGCCCAGATTTTGGGCTTCGTTAAGCACTAAGTGAAGGTGCTGCTGATCCCCAGAGATATGGCAGTATCTCTTTGGGCTCTCGTGACCATGTATCTGGCCGTCTTGGTCTGCCTTCCCCAGATGTCGTCTGCGAACCTTGTTCACCCTCACCCCGACCTTCCTCTCTGCGTATGCCCGCCGCCAAACAAATACTTCGCCCGTATTGGGGCCTTTGCTGAGCGGCTGGTGGCCGCGATGACC